TCCCATATATGACCTACTGTGTGGAAATATGGGGTAACGCCTGTAAATCAAACACACTCCCTGTCTTAAAACTACAGAAAAAAGCAATCAGAATAATCAATTGGTCTAAATATATCGAACCCACAAATCCACTATTCATCAAATCAAATACAATGAAATTCTATGACCTGGTTGACTTCAAAATTGCCCAATTAATGTATAAAGCACATAATAATCTCCTTTGTCAAAATATCCAGAAGCTTTTTGAAATCAGAGATAGTTGTTATAATCTAAGAGGTATTAATCAATATAAAAAATCCAGAACAAGAACAAACATCAAGCAAAGGTGTGTATCAGTAATAGGTGTCAATCTGTGGAATAATTTCGAAACGGACCTGAAAATGAGTAAATCGCTGGTTGAGTTCAAAAACAAATTCAAAAGATTAGTACAAAAAAACTACACAAATCAGAGTTAAGAAGATAAATTTGATATATTTATAAAATATAGTAATTCAATAGAATTACATTGATCAATTTACTAAATATATGAAAGAAATGCAGTATTTATAATGAATATGAGAAAATTGATATATAAAGGAGAAAGAATGAGTATTTATATACAAACCGAAAGGTGTATAAATAGATAAGTACAGTACACATAAGGGTAAAAGTATTTGATGGTATGTAGATTTTTCTTCTTTGTATTGAAAGAGATCAATTCATACACTGCGACATAACAAGGGGTAGGACTAGATAAGTTATTTACTTCTTCCTACTCCTTTGAACATAAAACTGTGATGATGTCTGTCCTTATTTTTCTTTTCTTTTTATAATTTTTACTTGCCTTCACTTTTGTCAATCTGTTATTGTATTGTATGTTCTATATGTTCAATAAACAAACAAACAAACAAACAAACAAATATTTTCTGGGGCTGGGGTGCTGGTGTCTAAGAGGAGAAATCGCCTTGGAGCAAAGACACTCCAAAAACTTTTGTTCCTCAATAAAATGTCATAAACTAATCACTTTTTTGTCTTTTATTTCACATGATTTAACAAAAATGTTCTACATAAGTTAAAAATCTGAATTGTAACTCAAATTTTTCTTTACCTACCGACCAACTCAGTTTAGCATTTACACAAACAAGGAATTTCTTTACCTGCAATGATTTTATAACTACTGCAGGGGTCACTATTGGGTGACCAACACTGGGTCAATACACTCCTTGAGGTATCATCATCCCATCATTACTACATGTTACATCACACTGTCACAACAATTAAACTCATTATCTTTCGTCACACACAAATGTTAGGTGCAGTTAACAACTACTGCATGGTTATTTGCTAAATTATTCTCTCAGCATTTATTAGTTTGATAATTGAATTAGATTTCCCATAATTGAAATTTGAAGACACCTACTTACCCTGCCACTCATGTGCAGTTAGTGGTCAGTATGGAGCCAGTCTTCTTATTCACACATACCCATGCCTGATAACACTGAGACTTTTGTCCCTGTCTTTGACGAGGCAAGACATCGGCTTTCAGGAAACAAAAATCACAGTTTTCAGCAGCTTGATGAAAAAGAACCGACTAAACATGGCCACATACCACGTAATTATAAGCATCAAGACTCTTATAGGCTTTGAGAGTCTCGTGTGTGAAAACACTCAGGGTATTTATCAAATACAGGCAGCGGTGCGTGAGCCGACTCTGTTCACCGACGATGGCTTTCGCCTCCGAGATGTGCGCACATCTTCATTACGTCACTGTTGTTTGCAAACATTGAACTGGCCTATATATACAGTGCTTTGAAAACGTATTTGCCCCCTTGTTGATTTCTTTGTTGTTGTTGTTGTTTTTTTGTTTTTTTTTTTGTTCTGTTTAGTTTTTTTTTGTTACATCTATCCACACATAGGTTTCAAATCATCCTAGCTGTTTTTGGGCAGTAGGTAATGGTTGATAGCCGATCACCGGGCAAACATAGACGAACAACCGTTCATCCTCACAATCACACCTTGGGACAATATTCAGATCGAGTGTTCCACTAACCTGCCATGTGCGTTTTTGGAATGTGGGAGGAAACCGGAGTGCCTGGGGAAAACCCAAGCAGATACAGGGAGAACATGCGAACTCCACACGTGTCACAGTTACAGGTGACCTCACTAGGGCAATGCATGAAAGAGCAATCCAGGTTCGAATCCAGGCTCCGGGGTTTCGAACCCTGGACCTCTGGACCTACATGCTAACCAGTTGATCAATATACATACACATTTTATATACAGTCAAACCTCAGTTTTCGAACGTCTCTGTTCTCGACCAAATCGGTTTTCGACCAAAAATTTCGAGTTTTTTATGCCTCGGATTACAACGAAAATCGGTTCTCGACCAAACTGAGCGCACTTGAATGCGCCACTTGACTCCTCTCGCCTTCCTTACACGAGGAAGTGACGCTTCCTCAGGTAGACGAAGACGTGACGCTCCCTCGTGTAGCGTTCCATTGTGAGCAGATGTGTTCAATAAAGTTTTTTTTAAGAGAGCGTGGTTCCGGTTTTCGAACAAATCGGTTTTCAAACAGCCTTCTAGAACGGATTATGGTCGAAAACCGAGGTATGACTGTGTGTGTGTGTGTGTGCGTGCGTGCGCGCGCGCGCGCGCGTGCGTGCGTGTGTGTGTGTGTGTATATATATATATGAGATCCGCTTATCCTCACAAGAGGGGGGCGTGCTGGAGCCTCTCCCAGCTGTGTTTGGGCAGTGGGCGGGGTACACCCTGAACTGATGTAGTGCCCTCTCCAAGTCGGGGATGAGATCTTGCCCCAAGTTTAGGAGTTTAAGTATCTTGGGGTCTTGTTCATGAGTGAGGGCAGGATGAACAGAACATGTCACAATTATCTGCCCTTGTGAGGATAAGCAGATTAAAAAATGGATGGAAAATTTTTACAAGAGGTCGTGTGGAAGCAGAGATGGGTTAGAATTGAGCGATTCCCATGTTTGGTCCTCGAGAACTCCTGTCCAGCCTGTTTTACATGTTTCCCCACCTCCAACACACGTGATTCAAATGATCAGCTCACCTGCAAGCCTGATAACAATCCTCTGGCCCATTAAAAGCATTTTCATCCGAAGTGAAGATATTCGTGGAAATAAAAATACCCGTTGGCCATTTTGAATTTAATTCATTTTTGCCAATCAGTTGTTTTCGTTCTTTATTCTGTTTTATTTTTGTAGCAATAGATGCCCATCAAAACGACTCATTTCCTCCTATAAATGAAAGAAATAATGGCAATAAAAAACATTTTTTTACTGCCATTTGACATTTTTTTTGCCCACCGAATTTTTCATAATAGGTGTCATTTGAAAGCTGGAGTTGTGAATGGTGTGAAAAAGGTAAGAACCTCCAAGCAATTTTTATTTTGTGGTAATGAGAGCAATGTTTTTTAGACTGTAGTCTACAATATAGTGGACATTGAGGAACGTTGGAAACCAGCGTCTTTCCCCATACTAAACTGGAAAACATTGCCATGTACAGGCCAGAAAGCGCAATTGCTGTATTTTAAGGTCGAAAGTAGAGCGCAAAGGTGGAGCCAACTTCAGCGTCATGGAGGACGTCACCTTGCACCGTGGGCGATGCTGAGTTCATAAATTGAGATGGGGGGACGGGAAATGTAGATCAGATACACAAGGAAAGTCTTCATGGAGCAATTGTCTCAACGGAACGCGAGGAGAACCTCTCGACTCGGACAAGTGGGAACCATTTGCGCCGTGCATCTGTCGTTATTTATGCTGAGCACTGCGCTGCTTGTATTAGTGTTGGTTGTGCTTAGAGGAGGATGTTCCCAATCACCTGCCTCAAAGGTAAGAAGTCCGCTTCATAAAGCTCGCAGCTAGCATATGGCTCCAATAAACACACAAGGTTAAGTCCTCTGAATTACTCTGAAATTAAGAAATAAAACATCCTGCTACTATTTAATCTTCATAAATTTAATCCGTTCCTGCCACGCCCCCCTAAATGCAACAAAATATACCTGTAAATTATATTGTAACTCATAAAAACATACAGTAATGGCAAATAGAATGGAAATACATATATATATATATATATATATATATTTTGCCCCTTGTTTTTTTTCACTTTTTCTTCTTCCTCTTGACTGCTGCTGTACAGTCCCAAAGAGTTAATTCTCTGTGACATTTCCTATAAGCTGTCCTGTGCACATTAACGATGCTTATGTTGGTTTCTTTCACAGTCTGTGGTGCATGGAGGCAGTCTTTCATCAGGTAATGCTATGTCTTTTCTTATACTCGTAAAATGCACAACTCTGGTGTAAATTACCATTGTGTGGATTTCTGTTGCAGCCCTCAGAAGCCGTCCACACAAGAATAAAGTCGAAGCTGCTATGCTCACAGGTAATGTTGTTCCTGTTAATAATATTTAATCCAACCATCCATTTTCAAGACCGCTTATCCTGAACAAGGGTCACTGGGCGTTGGGGGGGCAGAAGGCGGACAACTACATCCTGATCTGGTCAGCAGTCAGCCGTAGGTTACATTTAGAGATGAATAACCATCCACACCTACAATCACACCGTCACTGAGTGGGAACCGATCCCACGCTGCCCGCACACAAGTCAGGCGTGTGCACCACACGACGATGGCATTTAATATAAAATGTTACCACTTAGTTACAATAACGATAATTCTGTCTTCTCAAATAGGCTACATTTAATATTTCTTATTCAACAAGTTGTCAAGTTTATTTGTATAGTCCTGCAATTGGTTGGCAACCGGTTGAGGGTGTCCCCCGCCTACCCCCCGAAGACGGCTGGGATAGGCTCCAGCATGACCTTGTGAGGATAAAGCGGTTCATAAAATGGATGGATGGATGGATTTGTATCGTCTTAAAAACATAGCTTCACAAACCCACAGTTGACAAATATTAGTGAAATCCACCAAAACCACCTTTACCTGACAAGTTAGTTTCCAATTAAGGAGTATGAGTCATTTGGCCAACAAGGTGGAAAAGGAAAGAACTGTTTGCAAAAATAGACTGCAAATTTCCCCACTGTGGGACAAATAAAGGATATCTTATCTTATCTTATCAAAGGTTTTGAAGCCACTGGCTGCAATGGGGTGTCTTGTCCAGGGAAACCAAGACAACAAAAGTCTTTGTACAACGATGAGATTTATTTCAGCTCCAATTAATGATGAAACACCATTTACAGATCTGTGAGGAGCGTCCCTCCCCAAGCAGTGGGTTGCGGCTCCTCTTCTACCATTTTTTTTTTATTCTTGGGAGGGGTTAAAGTCTGACGCACAACCTTGCACTGCAACTAACCTGCATAGGAACACTTGCCAACAATTGAACAGTTAATTATAAGATACAAGTTATGAAGTTAATTTCCGCTACAGGGGTGCAAAACAAAGCAAACAAAAGGCTCAAAGGAGATAAGAACTCCATTTGCAGTGCCAAGTGTACTTAAAATCTCTAACCATAATGTGGCAAGCCCGGGACAGGACTAAACCATATGGGAAAGGTCTGTTGGAGAAACTTACACTTATTACAAGCGTCAGACGAATTGGGGAAAATCTCAGAGCTTGAGCTTGCTGATGATCTGATCATTTGGATCAGGTGTGTTGCAACAGGGAGACTTAGAAAACATGCAGGACAGCGGCCCTCCAGGACCGGAGTTTGACACCTATGATTTAAATGATAAATATGCAGTGAGAAACTTTACACCAAGTGATGCTGACTGGGTTGCCAGGTTGGCGTGAATGGAAAAAAAAAAACAAAACATTCTTTTTCTTTCTTTCTTACCTTCCCTCCTAAAAAGGCAAACTGTTTTAAGATGCAGTTTTCAAATTATAAACAAGATAACTTGGCAAGTCATGCCATTAAGTCAAAATCAAGTCGAGTCGCTGAGATACCAAGTCAAGTCAAGATGTTCCCAAGTTTTTGGCAAGCAAGTCACAAGTCCTAAAAATAGCAACTAGAGTCTGACTTGAGTCGAAACAAATGATTCAGTATAACGTACATGAGCCACTTGTAGCTGGTCCATTTAAGGAGCTTCATTCAATTATGCTGGGGAAACAAATATGCTGGTTGGCATCCATGTTTCATCCATAGCAAGCCTGGACAGAATGTGAGACACATGAGGGACCGCATCAGAACATGACTGGCTGGGAGGGAACATATTGGCATCCGTGGCTACGGGCCAACATTGAATGTGCCTTTGACCCTGCGTGACTCAGCAGCCACCTGGAGCATAGTGGAATCGAAGCACATGGAAGAAATCACATGATTTACTGCTTAGAAATCAGAGATTTCCTATAAATAGATCACCAACATGAAAAGTTGTCTATGGTTAAAAAAAAAAAAAAAGCTCTTGTGACGCTGGAAGAAAATTTGACGCGGAGCCATCGCCAACAGAGCGGAGTCAGTACAACAAAGTAAACGTTTGTGACATGAGCAACAACGTCCAGAGGGCAGGAGAAAAAATAAGTGTCTTCATGATCCCAAGCGTACATGCAAATAAGTAAATGGCCTGGGCTTCTGTTGGAATAAATGTTCATAAGTTTTCCCATATTTACTCCTATTCTTTGACAATCTAGGTGTGACCAAAAGGTCAGCTTTTAAGTTAACATCCTTTTGATGAAGTTAACGGCTTCTGATAAAAGTTACCAGCTGCTCGTGAAGATAACATCAACTCAAGGACGACGCCTGTGGGACGTCAATAACGGCAATCACGGATTACTGACCCCCAGCATGATCCGTCTGACCACCTCAGTAACGCATTGTGTATTCTGATTGTATGCCCCATTTGGAGGACTCATTGCTGTTCTCAAACATGTGAACACTCCCCCACACCTATTAGAAGATCGTGTATCAGGGACATCCTTTCAATAAATGCAAGGAGACAAACGCGCTCTCTTCAGAGTTGCGCCGGAACCTGTAACGGTCTACATGGCAGAGCCAGCTGGAGAGCTGCTCCGAGATTGTGAACCGAGACACGGTTCATCGCGCTCTCTCTTGCAAGAAAGACAACCATGCCTGCCTCCTAAGTCTTCCTGTTCCTGATGTATTCTTAGCGTCTGATTACCAGCAAAAACCTAACAGCTTGTCAAAATTAGCTCAGAAGTCGACAGAAGTATTTGCCAATTTAAAGAAAAAGCAGTCTAACCAATTCCGAGATCCTCCACCATGCAGGATTTCATGATTCATTGTTTGAGGAATTGTCCCCTCTGTTCCAATACTTTTGAAGGTTTTTGATACACCTCATGTATGAATGTTTGTTCATTTGAGAGGCTAAATGTTGCTTTTCAACTGTTATCCTTTTAGCTCCTCACGACAAGAAGACAGTTGAGGAATACCTTCTGTGGGAGAGTGTGAATGGAAATGCCCACCTACATGGAGGCTTCCGCTACTCCAATGGAAGCTTAGTGATTCCCACGAAAGGCTTGTACAGAGTTTTCCTGCAGCTCACTTACGAGAGCAACACCGAATCGAAATTTGATCTGAAACTCTCCAACACGGTGGTCCTTTACCATGATTCTTATCCCAGCGACGTGACTCTCCTGTCATCCGTCGACACAGTAAGCCACAGCACAAAACAATGGAGTAAATCACTTCATACCAGCGGCATATTTTTGATGAAGGCTAACAGCAGACTGCGAGTGAAATCGGCGAACGCCAACCTCATTTCTTCAGAAGAACATCTGGTGTTCTTCGGGGCTGAACTTCTGTCTCAGTAATGTGGTGAAATTAGTCAAATGTTGCACAATATTGAATGGAATGCACGGGTGTCAAACACAAGGCTCAGGGGCCAGATCTGGCCCGTCACATCATTTTATGTAGCCCGGCAAGGCAAATCATGGCCGTTGACTTCATGTTTCTTGCTAAAGCACCAAAAATTTCAGATTGACTTTTATTTGACTTTTAATAACATTGATATATTGCAATTGTATTTTTTGTTACCACCTCCCCCCTTTAAAATAAATTGAAAAGTAGTAGAACAAACAATTTTTGACTAGCCTCTGATTTAAAAAATATCCATCCATCCATCCATTTTTTTACCCATTTATCCTCCCATGGGTCACGTACGTGTTGGAGCCTATCCCAGCTGTCTTTAGGCAGACGGCGGGCTGCAACCTGAAATGGTTGACAGCCAATTGCAGGGCACACAAAGACAACCAACCATTCACACCTATAATCACACGTAGGCATAATTTTGAGTGTTCAATTAACCAACGATGCATGTTTTCGGAATGTGGGAGGAAACCGAAGTACTCGGAGAAATGAACATGCAAACGCGAAGGCCTGGACTCGAACCCTGCACCTCTGCACTGTGAGGCTGACGTGCTGAGCAGTCGACCACCGGGCCGCCCATTCCAAAACTGGTTATCCATTAATTTGTTGTGTGTGATAATTTAAAGTGATCATTTATATGGGTTCACAGTCATAATGGGCCTCCATGGGAAACTAGAATGTGATCGATGACAAAAATGAAGCTCACACCCCTGATGTAATGTGGTGTGGTTACAAGTGTGATGTAAAAATAGCTGCCCTCTTTGAACATAAAATTTAAAAAGCATAACTTTGATTACGAGTGATGACATGAAACAAAAGTATTGGGACACCACTCGAGTATTGAAGGCTCAGACAAGCAAAGGGTGCAGTCAGACGGAGGAAGCACAAGAAGAAACCACAGGAGGGAAAAAAAAAACATCCAAGGGGTGCTGATCCACGCTGAGTGACTGAGGCCCCACCATGGAGAAACACTGGCACTTAATATATAAATAAACAAATAAAAAGGCTTTACTTTAAATGAGCAAATAAATACAGTCAAACCTCGGTTTTCGTCCATAATCCGTTCCAGAACGCTGTTCGAAAAACCATTTTTCCCATTGGAATCAATGTAAAAAAATTTTAATCCGTTCCAAGTCAAGAAAACCACTTTTTTAAATGTGCTGCAGTCGATGTAAATAAGTTTATATAACGCAACATACAATTTTACAAAAATTGTAAAAGTATTATTCCTGAATATTTATTTCACTTTCAACCACTCGACATGTTCAGTGGCATCAGTGCTATACATACACATATCGTTCTTATTGTTTTCTTTGTATTTTTGCCCTCTATGGACAATAAAAGCGGTATTGTGCTATGACCAAAACATAAAATGAATCTATATAAATAAAACATGAATTGGAATATTTCATATCACACAATTTCTATGCTTTGTCTTTGATTTAAAGATGACAATACGCAAAAATCTACAAAAATTGTAGAAATTGGAACATATGGGGTAACCCATGTGTTACACAAATCGTAGAAATTGTAACACAAGGGTTACACCACTTTTTTTTTTTTTTTT